AACACACCCAGACGCACAGTCGCAAACCCGAATGCATGGGAGAAGCAGCCTAAATAGGCCCCTCCACATCACGTGGGCGAAGACCAGGAGGAGCCCCAGCACCGCAACTCAGATCGGTAGGAAAGGAGGGACGGAGATTTGCACAAAAGTAACTGTGGTCTTTGCTACTAAAAGTAATGGCAACATGGCAAGACTCAGTCTCTATTACAAAAAAAAAAAAAAAAAAAAAAAAAAAAACGTAAAAAAATTAGCAGGGCCCACATTCAGATAACATTTTTACATTTTTTGTAGATAATGGGGTCTTGCTATATTGCTATTACTTTTAATGTCATAAACAGCAGTCACCTTTACACCAATCTATAACAGACAGAGGCATGTGATTCCACAAGGCGTGGGTGTTTCTCATTTGTGTGCCCCAAAACTCAACACTGCAAATCTTCTCAGTAAATCTATTATCGAGACGCAAGATTCGGTGAAGACATCTCCTCCTTGGAAAGATACAGAAGAGTCAAGCTATCTACCCCGCTTGCCTGAGACTCATTTTAATGAAAATTCAGCCGGGCACGGTGGCTCACGCCTGTAATCCCAGCACTTTGGGAGGCTGAGGTGGGTGGATCACGAGGTCAAGAGATGGAGACCATCCTGGTCAATATGGTGAAACCCCATCTCTACTAAAAATGCAAAAAATTAGCTGGGCATGGTGGCACGTGCCTGTAATCCCAGCTACTCGGGAGGTTGAGGCGGGAGAATTGCCTGAACCCAGGAGGCAGAGGTTGCAGTGAGCCGAGATCGCGCCATTGCACTCCTGCCTGGGTAACAAGAGCGAAACTCCGTCTCAAAAAAAGTAAAGCAACCTGCCACAGAGGCTTAGCACTCTGACACCTTTTGTTTTACGGATACTGTGATCCAACGTCTCAATTCTATGTCTGCTAACAAAACTGTGTCACGGAGATGACACGGTTTAACCCATTTTATAATTTAGGTATAAAAAGCAAGATGTGAGTGGAAGCAGCTGGGAAGGTCCTCTTCTGAGGTAGGGTCCGGGCATTTACAGAACGGCGCCGTTTTCTTTGTGACATGACGTGAGGCCTATCTCCCATTGTACAGGGTATGATATGGTACCGAAGACCAAAGGGCCTGATTACCGAAGTCTGAAGCACCCAACTTGCTTCTCGTTATGCTTTTTGATTTTCTTTTGGCCTTTTGTTTTCTACATTTACAAAAGGCCAAGAAAATCCATCCCAGGACAACTAGACAGCAAACCAGGAACTGAAAGTCGGACCTTCTGTTAATTTGGCATCAGAATAAGACTTAGGGAAAATGTTAGAAGGAAATGCGCCTGGCGTCTCAGGAGCATAAGGTGAATCTTGGCCTACCCTGAGCCAATTCTTCAGAAAGGATGCTTTAAAAAAAATTTCATATCTAGAGACAGGGTCTCCGTGTGTTACGCAGGCTGGAGTGCAGTGTCGCAGTCATGGATCAGTGCAGCCTCCAATGCCTGGGCTCAAGCAATCCTCCCGCCTCGGTCTCTTGAGCAGTTTGGACCGCAGGCACACACAAGCACTCCCAGCTAATTTTTTACATTTTTCGTAGAGATGTGGTTCACTATGTTGCCCAGGCTGATCTCCAACTCCTGGCGCTCAAGCAATCCTCCTTCCTCGGCCTCCCAAAGTGCTGGGATTATATTTGCTTTCGTTCTTGAAAAATCTAGGGAAACTGTTCCCACCCAATGAGAGCTTTCATGTTTTTGTGCCTGCCCCAGCTCCTGCAACAATGCAGAAAGGTAATGCTTCCACCAAGACCAACCCAGGCATGGCGGGTGGGGGGCGGATAAGGTAGAAGACAAACTGCTTTTCCTTTTCCCAACTCTACTTCTAAATTTTCTCAAAATCAAGTCTGTTAAGCCTTCTGAATTCTTTCCCAAGTTTGTGTGTCCTGGAATGTGATATGGTGACACTCTGTGCCCCCACCCAAATCTCATCTTGAATTGAAATCTCTCATAACCTCCACATGTCAAGGCAGAAGACCAGGTGGAGGTCAGTGAATGGTGGCGAAGGTTCCCCTGTGCTGTTCTCATGGTAACGAGTGAGTTCACAGGGGATCTGACAGTTGTGTTGGTAGTTCCTCCTGCGTTTGTTCTCCTTCCTGCCGCCATGGGAAGAAGGTGCCTTCCATCCCTTTCCCTTCCGCTATGACTGTAAGTTTCCTGAGGCCTCCCCAGCCATGCTGAGCTGTGAGTCCGCTGAACCTCTTGCCTTCATAAATCACCCAGTCTTAGGCACTTCTTATAGCAGTATGAAAACTGTCTGATACAGACTGTGAATATGAAGCAGCATTATAAGACCTCAAAGCTCCTAAGAATCCCATGCACAAGGTAATCAAAATCCTTTGCAACTTGTGAATCCAACTTGGGCTGAGCCAAAGATTTTCAGAGAATCATCCATCAGACATTTTGTAGTTTCATGCCAAGTGTTCAACAATAGTCTGGGATTCTGAAAAAGAGCTAGAGGCCGGGCACGGTGGCTCATGCCTATAATCCAAGGCGGGTGGATCACCTGAGCTCAGGAGTTCAAAACCAGCGTGGCCAACATGCCGAAACCCCGTTTCCACTAAAAATACAAAAATTAGCCAGGTGTGGTGATGTGCACTTGTAATTCCAGCTACTCAGGAGGTGGAGGCAGGAGAATTGCTTGAACCCAGAAGGTGGAGGTTGCACTGAGCCAAGATCGCACCACTACACTCCAGCCTGGGCGACAGAGGGAGACTCCATCTCAAAAAAAAAAAAAAAATAGCTAGAGGAGTTTGCGATAAAACATCTAGAATATTACACACCCTGTTCTGGTAAACAAGCCTTCATCCCCTCCTGGCTGAATATCATGCTGTGACTTGCACAGTTTCAGAAAAAAAACAAAACCCTGTGTCCTTGAAAAGCAAACACAACTCCCTTCCATCGTATCCCTATTTCTAAAAGAAAGGGATATTTCTAAAGAAATATCCTCCACTATTCTAAAAGAGGCGAGAGGGGAGAAGAATGTTTGCTGTTTGCTTTTTCCAACGTGCTTCTAAGTGTAGGTCTGTTATAGGCACCTCCCTCAATGTGTTCATCTGTCCATTTGGTCACCATTCAACACTGACATTCAATGAACCAAACACCAGTCAGTGCGGTGGCTCACGCCTGTAACCCCAGCACTTTGGGAGGCCCAGGTGGGCAGATCACCTGAGGTCAGGAGTTTGAGACCAGCCTGACTAAGATGGTGAAACTCCATCTCTACTAAATACAACAAGAATTAGCCTGGCATGGTGGTGCATGTCTGTAATCCCAGCTACTCAGGAGCCTGAGGCAGGAGAACACGGGAGGCAGAGGTTGCAGTGAGCCGAGATTGTGGCACTATTCTAGCCTGGGCGGCAGAGTAAGACTGTCTCAAAAAAAAAAAACAAAAAACCACCATTTCCCACAGGTCCGCCCAGGAGGTGGGAGGCAGCTGCCTATGTCCCATGCACTGCCTAAAACCCCACAGCAAGCAAGCAGCTCATTTAAAGTCCTGAGATCCGGGGCCGAATGCTGTTCAGGACTCTCGGTTTCACGCCCATAAATAATGTTCGTGGATGTCACACGCTGGAATGATGAGAGATTAAGAGGAAACTCCACCCCTACGGCCCAACTTTGTCCACACCAGCATCTATTCAAATCTTCGAGGAATCGCCCTAAAATCTTCAAGAAGCAGGGCTTTGGGCGGGTGTCGTCACTGAGCAAGAATGAAAAAGGACTTAGATCCAAATAGGGTGAGAAGTTCAGACACCAAGAGGCTTGAGGGATTCCAGAGGCTCCTCCATAGAAGAATAGCTGTGGGCCAGGCACGGTGGCTCACACCTGTAATCCCGGCACTTTGGGAGCCTGAGCCGGGTGGATCATTTGAGGTCAGGAGTTTGAGACCAGCCTGCCCAACACGGTGAGACCCCTGTCTCTACTCAAAATACAAAACATTAGCTGGGCATGGCGTCAGGCACCTATAATCTCAGCTATTCGGGAGGCTGAGGCAGGAGAATCCCTTGAACCAGCGGGTGGAGGTTGCAGTGAGCTGAGACTGCGCCCCTTCACTCCAGCCTGGGCGACAGAGCGAAACTCTGAGTCAAAAAAAAAAAAATACAAACTAAGAGTAACCATCCCTGGTCCAGGGGATCCCTGCAAACCACACTGCTTAGTCATGCAAGCGCGAAGGCATGCCCTAAGTCCAAAAGCCAAGCGATGCATGCACGTTACCTGTGTTCAGAAACTAGTGCTTACTAACTGACTTCACAGCGGACCCCAAATGATTTAGGGACTTTTGAATACAAAGTCCCAAGGATTCCAATCTTGAGTGGCCCTCCAACTTCCCAGGTCCCAGGTGCCTGTGGGTTTTCAGTACTAACAGAAAGGAAATCCACCATGCTGGGTTTTAACTCCAGTCTCCTGGACGGGGAAAGGACCACGGCGGCCCCGTGGGCACGGTTCTCCTCGTAACGATGACATCAATTGTACATAACACAGCAGGAACCATGGGAGCTAAATGTCTTCCGCCTTTCCTCTGCAGGGCAACAGTTCTGCGGCATGTATACCAACCGTTTCCCACTTTCCACATGTAAAAGCCAAGCGCCGCAGCAGTCAGGAGCCTGCAGACTTTCACACTACACAACGTGAGGCAGGACAGACCTGGAATCGAAGCCAGAAGGTGCGATTCAGAGTTTCAGCGGTTTCACAACCATCAGCCATTGTGCACCTGTTTTTGGCCAGCCCGAGTTTTGTTTCTGCCTTTTAAAGAAAGCACAGTTTCAAATTGGCAAGGCAAGAAGGAGAGGCACCAGTTGAGCGAGCCTTACCGTTCTCTTTGAAGCACAGCTTCTTTTTCTGGTAAGCAATGAAGCTGGAGATGGCTCCCGCCACGGCGACCACGATGGCCCCCACGATCCCGGGGATCACGCCTGGGGCGTCGGCTGCAGGAGGAAGCACATGGCATGAGGATTGGACACGCAAGGCGCAAAGAAGATCCCAGCAGGTGCTCGCTGGCACAGTCAGTCCAAGAGCACCGAGAACCTCAAAACATGTGAGATGCCCGAGCTGACCGATCTGCAAAGGGAGCACACTGGGAATGGCACACAGGGACTCAAAGCAGTGCACAGTCTCTGATCGCCAGTCGTGGTGGACACACCTGGGCAGAGTGCAGCGGGGAGAAAACAGACATGAAGAGACGCCAGCGAGGTGCAGGGAGAAGCTCGCCAGGACCAAGGCAGAGACAGAGAAAGAGAAAGACGAAGACATATGGAACGGGGGAGCTGCAGCCAGGCGCGGTGGCTCACACCTGTCACCCTGGTACTTTGGGAGGCCAAGGCAGGAGGATCACCTGAGGTCAGGAGTTGGAGACCAGCCTGGCCACAATAGAAACCCTGTCTCTACTAAAAATACAAAAATTAGCCAGGCATGGTGGCAGGCAGCTGTAGTCCCAGCTACTCGGGAGGCTGAGGCAGGAGAATCGCTGAACCCAGGAGCTGGGAGCTGGAGGGTTGCAGTGAGCCTAGATCGCACGACTGCACTCCAGCCTGGGTGACACAGGCAATTTACCATCAAGAAAGAAGAAAGACAGACAGACAGACAGACAGGAAGAGAGAGAGACAGCTGGGCATCGAAGCAGGAGGAGAGCCAGTAGGGGCAGGAGATGAAGAAAAGACCTGCAACGCTTGGTGCATTGCGAGAACGTTTTGTGTCGTCAGAATGCTTTTTCACCCCCTGAAAATGACTTTGGGTTTGCATGCAAACATTTTAAATCCACCTGTATCTATTTTGTTATCATTATTGTCATTATTTTGAGAAGGGTTCCTGCTCTGTCGCACAGGCTGGAGTGCAGTCGTGCAATCACAGCTCACTGCAACCTCAAACTCCTAGGCTCCTGAGATCCTCCCACTTCGACCTTCCAGGTAGCTGGGACTACAGGTGTGCACCACCATGTCTGCTTAATTATCATGGTTTTGTAGAACTGGGGTCTTGCTATGTTGCCCAGTCTGATCTCAAACTCCCAGCCCAAAGCAACCTGCCTGCCTAGGCCTCCCAAAAGGCTGGGATTACACGCATGAGCCACCACACCCAGCCTATTTTTTAAATGTCATTCCAGCAAATAATTCTTTTTTGTTTTGTTTTTGGGAGACCGAGCCTTGCTCTGTCACCCAAGCTGGAGTGCAGTGGCCTGATCCTGGCTCACTGCAACCTCTGCCTCCCAGGTTCAAGCTGTTTTCCTGCCTCAACTTCCCAAGTGGCCGGGATTACAGGTGTGCCACCATGACTGGCAATTTTTCTTTAATGGAGTCTTACTTCAAGCTGTCACCCAGGCTGGAGTGCAGTGGCATTATTTCAGCTCACTGGAGCCTCTGCCTCCTGGGTTCATGGCGATCCTCGTGTCTCCCGAGTAGCTGGGATTACAGGAGCGCGCCACCACCCCTGGCTAATTTTTGTATTTTTCATAGAGACGGGGGGTTTCACCCACGTTAGCCAGGCTGGTCTCAAACTCTTGACCTCAAGTGAGCCTCACGACTCGGCCTCCCAAAGTGCTGGGATGACAGGTGTGAGCCACCGCGTGCGGCCAATGAAGAGATTCTTAATTCCATTGCCAGATGTGAGCCTTAGAGGCCCCTTCTCCAGACAGAATCTTCTCCACCCTCCACGAGGGGCAGGAGAATTGTCTGACTTCCAGGAAAACACTGGCTCCAAATGTGGCCCGTGGGCGGTGTCTCAATCGACCAGTCTTCAACGTGTGCAGGAAAACAGTCGTGGAAAGATTTTTCCAACCCAACTACCCTTCCCTGAAGAAGTGACAAATTAAACGTTAACTCTCTAGAAGGCCAAGAATGATGGCCTGAAATAAACAGGCCTGACCTATGTTTTCTTAGCTACTTTTCTTGGTGACGTTGCAGTCCTAGGTGAGGGCTACAGACAGGTTACCACCTCTTCAAAGAAAGCCTAGAATCCAAGGCCTGTATCTGAAAAATAATAAATACCGAAAGCAAGGGTACACTACCTTGCTTTGGGCATTTTTCTTTTTCCAAAAACATTCGTTGGGTATTTTAAGAATCCACATTTTGACGCTGACTCACATGGCAAACAGGGGGCTAACGTCTTTGGCCAAATTAGTATCTCTTCTGCCCAGGAAGTTGCTTAAAACTAGAGATTTTGCTGGAAGCAAGTCCCTGAAAAATGGTAGACGCGAGATAGTGAAATACAAAGCTACTGGTCCACCACCCCCCCATCTCTCTTCCTCTCCTCCCTTTCCTTCCTTTGCTTGCTTCCCCACTGTCTGACTTCCTTCCTTTCCCTCCCTCTCTCCTTCCTTCCCTCGCTCCCTTTTTTCCTTCCTTCCTTCTTTCCCTCCATCTCTCCTTTTCCCTTCTTCCTTTCTCCCTTCCTCCCTTCCTTCCTTCTTTCCCTCCCTCCCTCCTTTTCCTTCCTTCCTCCCTCCCTTCCTTCCTTCCTTCTTTCCCTCCCTCCCTTTTCCTTCCTCCTTCCTCCCTCCCGTCCTTCTTCCTCCCTTCCTCCTTCCCTTTCTTCCTTCTTTCCCTCCCTCTGTTTTCCTTCCTTCCTCCCTTCCTCCCTCCCCTTCCTTCCTTCTTTCCCTCCCTCCCTTTTCCTTCCTCCCCTTCCTCCCTGCCTTCCTTCTTTCCCTCCCTCCCTTTTCCTTCCTTCCTTCTTTCCTCCCTCCCTTTTCCTTCCTTCCTTCCTCCCTGCCTTCCTTATTTCCCTCCCTCCCTTTTCCTTCCTTCCTCCCTTCCTTCCTCCCTCCCTCCTTCCTTCCTCTCCTCCTTTCCTTCCTTCTTTCCCTCCCTCCCTTTTCCTTCCTTCCTCCCTCCCTTCCTTCCTTCCTCCCTTCCTCCCTCCCTCCCTTCCTTCCTTCCTTCCCTCCCTCCCTTTTCCTTCCTCCCTTCCTCCCTGCCTTCCTTCCTTCCTTCTTTCCCTCCCTCCCTCCCTTCCTCCCTTCCTCCCTCCCTCCCTTCCTTCCTTCTTTCCCTCCCTCCCTTTTCCTTCCTCCCTTCCTCCCTGCCTTCCTTCCTTCTTTCCCCTCCCTCCCTTTTCCTTCATCCCTTCCTCCCTGCCTTCCTTCCTTCCTTCTTTCCCTCCCTCCCTTCCTCCCTGCCTTCCTTCCTTCTTTCCCTCCCTCCCTTTTCCTTCCTTCCTCCCTTCCTTCCTTCCTCCCTCCCTTTTCCTTCTTTCCCTCCCTCCCTTTTCCTTCCTTCCTTCCTCCCTTCTTTCCCTCCCTCCCTTTTCCTTCCTTCCTCCTTCCCTTTCTTCCTTCCTTCTTTCCCTCCCTCCCTTTTCCTTCTTCCTTCCTCCCTCCCTTCCTTCTTCCTTCCTCTCCATCCTCCTTCCATCTTTCCTTCCCTCCTTCCTTCCTTTTATTCTTTCTGCCTACTTCTTTCTCTGTCTCTTTCTGACTTCATTTCTTTTCTTTACAGGTACAAATGCAATTCTTTCTGTCATGACCTTGTCCCATCTAACAGAAAGGGTCATGAAAAAGGAGGCAGGAGATACCTCTCTGGCACTGCCATGGGGAACACAACGCCTCTTACAGCCAGGGTGGGAGCGACCCACATCTCCACCTTTTACCTTGTCACTGATGTTCTCTAGGAGCAAGTGTAACCCAGGATAGGTGTCTCAAGTTTCTGATCCTTAGGATGAGTGTGGGAGCCTCACCAATCACAAGGACAAGGCTGAGCGTCAGATCGCCAGCCAGGCATCCTGGGGCAGGTGACTGAATCTAAAATCTGGTTCACTTGGGCACCTGGAGCTGGGCTGGTTTGCTGGGGGGACCTGTGTGGCTACATCGTCAGGGGAGCGCTTGGCACAGAACACCCATGCCACCCACCAGCAGCGTCAGGAGGCTGATACCCATGCAGCCCATCAGCTGTCAGGCATTCTGCTTCCCCTTCTCAAAACCATGTGAGAGACACAAGAAGAAAGAAGACAGAAACCAGGGGCACCTACCCTGTTCCCCTTCGTTCCCCTGGCTTCCTCCACCATGACGGCCTCCTGTTCCTGCAAGACAAAAGCAACGTCTGCTGAGAATCTGGACCGGGAAGACGTGGGGTTAAACAAAAATGCACAGCCAGGGCCAGGAAGGGGCTGGGGTCCTGCTTCTTATATTCCATGGGGTGCATGTCACACAGCTACAGAGTAGGGGTTCCTGTTACACTCTATGGAAGTGTCTTTTACACAGCTATAGAGTGGGGTGCTGCCTATTACCATCTAGGGGCATGCATGTTACACAGCTACAGAGCTGGGGTCCTCCTGTTACACTCTATAAGTGTGTGTTACTCAGCTGCAGAGCTGGGGTCCCACCTGTTACACTCTACGGGTGCGTGTTCCTCAGCTGCAGAGCTGGGGTCCTCCTGTTACACTCTATGGGTGCGTGTTCCTCAGCTACAGAGCTGGGTCCCGCCTGTTACACTCTATGGGTGCGTGTTCCTCAGCTGCAGAGCTGGGTCCCCTGTTACACTCTAGGGGTGCGTGTTCCTCAGCTGCAGAGCTGGGTCCGCCTGTTACACTCTGTGGTGCGTGTTCCTCAGCTGCAGAGCTGGGTCCCGCCTGTTACACTCTGTGGGTGCGTGTTCCTCAGCTGCAGAGCTGGGTCCCGCCTGTTACACTCTGTGGGTGCGTGTTCCTCAGCTGCAGAGCTGGGTCCGCCTGTTACACTCTGTGGGTGCATGTTCCTCAGCTGCAGAGCTGGGTCCCCTGTTACACTCTGTGGGTGCGTGTTCCTCAGCTGCAGAGCTGGGTCCTCCTGTTACACTCTGTGGGTGCGTGTTCCTCAGCTGCAGAGCTGGGTCCCGCCCTGTTACACTCTATGGGTGCGTGTTCCTCAGCTACAGAGCTGGGTCCCGCCTGTTACACTCTATGTGTGCGTGTTCCTCAGCTGCAGAGCTGGGTCCCCTGTTACACTCTGTGGGTGCGTGTTCCTCAGCTGGAGAGCTGGGTCCCCTGTTACACTCTGTGGGTGCGTGTTCCTCAGCTGCAGAGCTGGGTCCACCTGTTACACTCTGTGGATGCGTGTTCCTCAGCTGCAGAGCTGGGTCCCCTGTTACACTCTATGGGTGTGTGTTCCTCAGCTGCAGAGCTGGGTCCCGCCTGTTACACTCTGTGTGTGCGTGTTCCTCAGCTGCAGAGCTGGGTCCCCTGTTACACTCTAGGGGTGCGTGTTCCTCAGCTGCAGAGCTGGGTCCTCCTGTTACACTCTGTGGGTGCGTGTTCCTCAGCTGCAGAGCTGGGTCCTCCTGTTACACTCTAGGGGTGCGTGTTCCTCAGCTGCAGAGCTGGGTCCCGCTGTTACACTCTAGGGGTGCGTGTTCCTCAGCTGCAGAGCTGGGTCCCACCTGTTACACTCTGTGGGTGCGTGTTCCTCAGCTGCAGAGCTGGGGTCCTCCTGTTACACACTGTGGGTGTGTGTTCCTCAGCTGCAGAGCTGGGTCCCCTGTTACACTCTGTGTGTGCGTGTTCCTCAGCTGCAGAGCTGGGGTCCTCCTGTTACACTCTGTGGGTGCGTGTTCCTCAGCTGCAGAGCTGGGTCCCCCTGTTACACTCTGTGTGTGCGTGTTCCTCAGCTGCCAGAGCTGGGGTCCTCCTGTTACACTCTGTGGGTGCGTGTTCCTCAGCTGCAGAGCTGGGTCCCGCCTGTTACACTCTGTGAGTGCGTGTTCCTCAGCTGCAGAGCTGGGTCCCCTGTTACACTCTGTGTGTGCGTGTTCCTCAGCTGCAGAGCTGGGGTCCTCCTGTTACACTCTGTGGGGTGCGTGTTCCTCAGCTGCAGAGCTGGGGTCCTCCTGTTACACTCTGTGGGTGCGTGTTCCTCAGCTGCAGAGCTGGGTCCCGCCTGTTACACTCTGTGGGTGCGTGTTCCTCAGCTGCAGAGCTGGGTCCCGCCTGTTACACTCTGTGGGTGCGTGTTCCTCAGCTGCAGAGCTGGGTCCCGCCTGTTACACTCTGTGGGTTGCGTGTTCCTCAGCTGCAGAGCTGGGTCCCACCTGTTACACTCTGTGGGTGCGTGTTCCTCAGCTGCAGAGCTGGGTCCCCCTGTTACACTCTGTGTGTGCGTGTTCTTCAGCTGCAGAGCTGGGTCCCCTGTTACACTCTGTGGGTGCGTGTTCCTCAGCTGCAGAGCTGGGTCCCCCTGTTACACTCTGTGGGTGCGTGTTCCTCAGCTGCAGAGCTGGGTCCCGCCTGTTACACTCTGTGGGTGCGTGTTCCTCAGCTGCAGAGCTGGGTCCCGCCTGTTACACTCTGTGGGTGCGTGTTCCTCAGCTGCAGAGCTGGGTCCCGCCTGTTACACTCTGTGGGTGCGTGTTCCTCAGCTGCAGAGCTGGGTCCCCTGTTACACTCTAGGGTCAGTGAGAACCCGAGTTCCCAGGCATTATCACTTTATTCTCAGCGCTTTAGTCTTCATATTCCTTAAATTACAGAAAACAACCTAATGAAACAAAGCTGAACGCACCCTAGCTGCTTGCAAGAACACAGAGGTGAACGGATGGGTGAGGAGGTGGTGAGAAGGGTCCATTCTACAGGCCCTGTCCCTCAGGAAAGTGGGGCAGCTGCCTGGGCCGGAACTCTTCTCCCAGCCGCCGAACCTCTACAGCGCAGCCTTTACTTCCCACAACCTTGAAGCCTCAGCAAACTGCAGAGTTCCCACAGAGATGGCCAAACATTTCACTGTGAGTCACGGAGGGCTGAGAGTTTAGACCCTGCAGTGATTCTGCAGAGAAGGTGGGCATCATGGGATGGAGAGAGAAAAGACACAGAAAACAGGGGAACTCTACCTTCTCCAGCAGGAACACCATCTGCAAGATCGGCATCTGAAAAGCCTCCTAGGAAGGAAAGTAAAGAATCATCTGTGGGCCGGGCGCGGTGGCTCAAGCCTATAATCCCAGCACTTTGGGAGGCCGAGACGGGTGGATCAGGAGGTCAACAGATCGAGACCATCCTGGTCAACATGGTGAAACCCCATCTCTACTAAAATTGCAAAAAATTAGCTGGGCACGGTGGTGCGTGCCTGTAATCCCAGCTACTCAGGAGGCTGAGGCAGGAGAATTGCCTGAACCCAGGAGGCGGAGGTTGCGGTGAGCCGAGATTGCGCCATTGCACTCCAGCCTGGGTAACAAGAGTGAAACTCCGTCTCAAAAAAAAAAAAAAAGAATCATCTGTGAACCCAGAACTCTTCCACGAATCATCTGTCAACCCCAAACTCCTCCATGGTGATTCACGTGTCAGAATAAAGGACAAACTCTTCAACACCAGCCTGTTCAGGCAACATGGTGAAAACCTGTCTCTACTAAAAATACAAAAATTAGCCACTCATTTTTAGCTACTAAGAATAAAAAAATTAGGTGTGGTGGTGGGCACATGTAATCCCGGGTACTCGGGAGGCTGAGGCAGGAGAATCACTTGAACCGAGAGATGGAGATTTCAGTGAGCCGAGATTGTGCCATTGCACTCCAGCCTGGGCAACAAGAGTGAAATTCAGTCTCAGAACAAAACAAAACATAGATAAAGTGGAGAAACATGAGCATAATATTGCATGCTGCAATATTTAACATCCATAAGTAAATGAAGAAGGTTTATACAATAATGCCATATCAGAATAGAAGAATAGAAGGCAAAGGACACAGTGCACAAAAGAAGGATCCACAGCCAACTGATGCATTTTTTTTAAATTTTAGAAGTAAAGTCATAAAACTAGGACAAAGTTGCTATCACATTTCACAGTGTTTGCAAAGCTTCCCTAGGTCATAACTAATACTGGAGACGGTGTCAAGACGGGCACATTTGCACACACCCCTGGCATCAGAATGAACTGGTAAAAGTCTGCAGCCAACTAATAACCAGGTCAGAAGCTCTAAAATACTCACACACGGCCGGGTGTGGTGGCTCACACCTGTAATCTCAGCACTTTGGGAGGCTGACGTGGAAGGATCACCGGAGGCCAGGAGTTTCAGACCAGCCTGCGCAACCTACAGAGACCCTCATCTCTACAAAAAACAAAAACCTAACTGATCACAGTGCTATGTGCTTGTGGCTCCAGGTAACTGAAAGGCTGAGGCAGAGGGATCTCTTTAGCCCAGGACTTTGAGGCTGTGGTACACTATTATATTTAATGCGATCACAGCACTGTACTCTAGCCTGGATAAGAGAGCGAGACCCCATCTCTCTCTGTCTCTCTGTCTTTCTCTCTCTCTCTCTGTCTCTCTACACACACAGACACACACATGCACACACACACAAGATAAATAAAATAGCCATCAAAATGTCAATAAGATATGGACATCATTAAAAATTAAATAAGAAAAAAACAAAACAAAACAAAACTTTCAATAACTATTCAGCTAAAAAAAAAAACCCAGAGTTATTCAAATAAGCTACTCTGAAAATGCTGTGATATGTTAGAAAAACTGACTGAAATATTTAAAAGCCAAAAGATTTAAAACACACTAGCTTCTCCGTAAGGAATGTATATGCCAATACTTTTCTCTATATCTAGTCTATATTTAAACTGTTGGATTCAATGTTTAGAAGTTCCATAAGATGGTAACAGTAGCAAACTAGGCCAGGCACAGTGGCTCATACCTGTAATCCCAGCACTTTTGGGAGGCCAAGGTGGGCAGATCACTTGAGGTCAGGAGTTCGAGACCAGACTGGCCAACATGGCAAAATCCTGTCTCTACTAAAAATACAAAAATTAGCTGGGTGTGGTAGCATGCACCTGTCATTCCAGCTACTCTGGAGGCTGACTCAGGAAAATCACTTGAACCCAGTAGGTGGAGGTTGCAGTGAGACAAGATGGTGCCACTGCACTCCAGCCTGGGCGCCAGAGCAAGACTCTGCCTCAAAAAAAAAAAAAAAGGAGCAAACTAAAAGTAAAATCCAAACCGAACATATGTTTTTGAAAAGTACGTTTTCTACTATGTGAACAGGGGCCTTACGCTGTACAGGCAGTCAGTGATCAGCACGCACTCATCTGAAACCACCTCCTCTCAGCTGACACGAATATCATGGAATTGAAGAACATGAGACATCCCACAGGGCCAGAAGCGCTTACCAGTGGAAGCAGGCGGGTTGGGGTTTGGATTTGGCCTCGGTTTGGGTGGGTTCGGTGGTGCTGGGTCATCTGTTGGTGAGAGATGAGAGTTGCAATTCTAAGTGCCTTGCAGTAAAGAAAATGAAACATCAGTTTACGTAGAGATGGTTCCCTGGACAGAAACAGGATCTTGTCCTTTGTCCCGGTGGGGATACCCATACACTGAGAGCCTCCTACCAATTTCCTCCTCTCAACTTTGAGCTACAGTTCTTAATTTAAAGTAGCAAAGACTTGGAACCAACTCAAATGCCCATCAATGACAGACTGGATAAAGAAAATGTGGCACATAGACCCTGTGGAATACTATGCAGCCATCAAAAAGGATGAGTTCATGTCCTTTGCAGGGACATGGATGAATCTGGAAACCACCATGCTCAGCGAACTGACACAAGAACAGAAAACCAAACACGGCATGTTCGCACTCATAGGCGGGGGTTGATCAATGAGAACACATGGACACAGGGAGGGGAACATCACACACTGGGGCCCGTTGGGGGGTGGGGGAGGTAGGGGAGGAATAGCAGGGTGTGGGTGGATTGTGGAGGGAGAGCAGGGGGTGGGTGAATCCGGGAGAGAGAGCATTAGGAGAAATACCTAATGTAGCTGACAGGGGATGGATGCAGCAAACCACCACGGCACGTGTGTACCTGTGTAACAATCCTGCACAATCTGCACATGTACCCCAGAACTTAAAGTATAATTAAAAAAAACAAATGAAAGGGGTGTCCACACCAGCTACAGAATTTCTGGGGCCAAAATAAAAATGCAGGACTCATTTTTCAAGTTCTGCGAAGTATTCCAAGATGGCGGTCACAGAGCAGTGAACCAATATGGCACCCACGCAAAACCGATATGGCACAACACATGCTCGTGAAGCCAGCGTGGCCAGGGTAGGAACATGTTGGAAATAGATGCTCAGTGCTGGAAAGAAAAATGAGCACTGAGACAAAGGGTCTTTCAGCAACGCAAGTTTTACTTACTGGACTGCAGGAAGGGGACCCCTATCTTGCCACAAGAGTACAATGAACCAAGGAAAACACACACATGTATCCCTGACTCATGTGGGGTCGTCCTTCCTGCCCTGTCTGAGCTCCATGGGCTGGACCCAGACCTCACCATCAAAAACCCGACTGGCTGACAACTTAAAACTTTTCTAAACAGGTGACAGCCACGGAGAGCTGGGACCCGCCTGTGAGCACGTCCATCACTGATATTTCAGTGAAAGTACAAGGACGTAGAATGTCCTACGTGCCTGTGAGCTCAGCGTGTCTAACAGCCACATAGGATGGGGCTTTACAGAGAGTTATTAGCACACTTATTCTTTAACAAGAAAGGAAACTTTAAAAGGGCACTTTTCTACTTCCCACAGCACATTTGTCTCATGTCCTTCTAAAGAGTGTAGGAGTCTTAAATACATGCACACGTACGGGTTGTCAGCAAAATCCCAACGGCAACAGCAGGAACAAAGCGACACAGCTATTCCCTAGGTTTCCACTGTGAAAACCTGTTCCTGCTATAATCTAAATGGGATAATTCTCTGTGAAATGATCATAATTTGGTGACAATAAGCAGGTCAGCAACCAAGTAGATTAAAGGAGATACTCACTGTGTCCTCCACCACCAAGAGCATCACTTAAGTCGAAGTCTTCCCCTAAAAGACAAAAAAGAGGCGTTAACACCAAATTTCAAAGAGAAACCAGGAAGGAACCACCTCGTACACAGACACCACAGCTCAGCCAGGATCTCATCAGAAAAAGTGAATTCCTGACCCTTTTTGCATCACTAGTGTCTCAGATGAAAAGGGTAAAAAATAAAGACAGAGACAGAGAAAGAGCTAGGAGAGCAGCTCTCAGAAGAGGGGCAAGGGAGACGGAGCGAGAGAGAGAGAGAATAATTTATAAAGCAATTGTGTCATCTGGACGGGGTTGAAACTCCAGCTCTGCCTGCACATGATTTTCTCCTGTTGACTCCCCAACCTACCATCCTCTCCTCCCAGGTCCCGAACACCTTTCGAAAGACAGACCCTAATGTGGGGATCACTCCTGCAAAGGGCCCTTGACAGGACCCCTCGCTATCTTGAGCTTGAGCCCATACACGTTTCTCCTCTCCTGGAGGCTGTTGAGCTAAGGGAAAGGAGGAAGTCTAGTTGCACTGATTTTATAAACATCAATCTTTGCCTCTGACATTAGCAACAGAATGGCTGAACTCAGGCCTTATGGTCTAATGAAACATTGTATGGGTAGACATTGTGTGCCTCTTAGTTCCTTCTCTGCACAATAACTGTATGACTTCATTTACCTCTGCTAACTCAATCATATTGTTTGCATATGATCCTATATGAATAGGCAAGGTTAGAATGACATTTGGAAAGGTCCAGCTGTACCTTGTTAACAATCTTACTTGCTTGCTTAACTGATTTTAGAAAAACACGTTTAGATTTATGATCCCCTTTTTGCAAGCTTTATTGTCCCTTTGCTGTACACCCTTTGATTAAGAGTCATACTTTCTGTACCTCTTTTCTTGTGATTTTTGTTCTTGATTTTATTTCAAGATACAATGGAATGTACGTCACTCCTCAAACACTGAAAAGTATATAACCTGTAGTTTGCACAAATAAACTTGCTGTCTTGGCACTTCTTGCTCCGGCATTGCCTGGCAGTCCTCCAGACCCCGCTCTCTATCTATCTTTTCTTCCGTGCACTCCCTCTTCTAAGTTAAGAACACTTGAGTGGGGCTGAGGCTCTCCGCTGGTCGGAAGCCCCCCAGCAGACGTGCCGGACCCCCACATCTGGCGCCCAACGTGGGGCCCTGGACACAAGGGATCACAGTGACGCTCAAGTTATTAAGGTGAGGCTGCAGCAGTAAGTTTGGCTTTTCTCGTAAGTAAGCTCTCTACTTTTGATTTTGTATAATATTAATCAAATTTTTTCTCTTTGTTGTACATACAAGTCAAAGTAAACAGAATTTCTCAGTTTCATCTGGAGTAAAATATGGGGCATATAGAATCTAAGGAGTGTAACTTGTTTATACAATTATTGCAAAAAATGATTAAGTCACATAGACATGATATTAAGCTAAAAACTGCGGAGGAATTTGTGCACATTATTCGTGAAATTTGCCCATGAGTTCCAGAAGGAGGAATATTGGGGGGAAACTGCATGGGATGAAATTGGTGAGAAATTGAACAATATGCCTCTCATAATGAAGCTTTACCTCAAACCGAGGTTTTACTTTCTGTTTAGTCTAAACTTAAAGACAGTGTCTGCTCCTCTCAAGGGGAACCTGCTCGCCCTTGCTCTCACAGTGCTATTTCTTCCCCTGCTGCTGCCTTCTCCCCTCCTGCTTCTGAACTTGATCCTCTCGATCAAATGGAGCATAGTATTAACCATTCTTCTAGACATTCACTCATGGATAGCTGCCAACTTGTGACAGAGGCTGTTTTAAAAGAGCCCGACAGGTATGTCTCCCCACCTAACACCCCTTGCCGTGATCATAACCCAGTAACTCTTACCCTTCCCTCAGACCTCTCTGATCAAATCAGAGACTTACTTTCTCTTTGCTCTGAAGCACTCATCTTGCAACAACAACACTGCTTTCCTGTTGCTCAAGCACCGTCTTCTGTACCTTCTAATTCTTTGGTTATTAGATCCACCCCCACTGCTCCCATTTCCCCCTTAACACAAGCCATGATGTCCATGCATAAAGGTTTGTCGATGCTGATAGCACGTCATTATATCCTCTTATAGAAGTTACTGATCATGCAGGCAATGTTACCCGTCATTATGAAGCTATCCCTCCTAAGTTCCTGAAAGATCTTAAGGAAGCCGTCACGCATTATGGCCCAATAGCACCTTACACGTTGTCTATTTTAGAAAATTTTCAACAGCTGCCTTGCCACCGCTGAATAGATAAGACTAACTAGAGCTTGTCTTTCTGGTGGAGATTTTCTGTTATGGAAAGCCTATTATGATGAGGCTGCTTTCAATCAGTCTGAGCGCAATAAGCGTGCCAGTAGCCAGGTTACTTTAGATATGCTTGTGGGCAGAGATGCTTTTGAAACTTTACAAAATCAAATTGCCCTTTCTGATGAAGCTTTGTTACAAATTAATACATTAGCTCTAAAAGCATGGTGCCAACTTCCATCCCAAAGAGCTAAAACAGAAGAGCTATCTAAAATTTGCCAAAGACCTGATGAACCATATCAGGAATTTGTTTCTCGTCTCTTAGAAGCAATTACTCATCAGGTTAGCAATCAGGAAGCCAGCTCTATGCTGGCCAAACAATTGGCTTTTGAGAACGCTAATGCTGCATGTCAGGCTGCCATAAGACCGTAGCGACGTGCCACTATTTCTGATTATATTAGGATGTGTGCAGATATTAGCACAGCATATCAAAACGGCTTGGCTATAGCTGCTGCTCAGAATGGCATGACGGTGGCTGCCTTTTTAAAGAGACAGTCTCAAAATTCTAATATCAAGTGTTTTCGCTGTGGTTTACCTGGCCATGTAGCAAAGAAATGCCCATCTGGACAACAATTAGCTTACCTGCCCCTGCACAACCATCTATGCAACTTTTAGCTCTCCCTGCACCACCCACATCAGAGAAATCTAAACTCACCCTCCTGGCGAGTGCCCCCATTGTCATCAAGGAAACCACTGGGCCAATGAGTGCAGATCCAAACAAGATGCACAAGGTAATCCTTTGGTGCCCCGTTCAGGAAACTCCCAGAGGCGGCAGCCTCGGCCCCACAACAAATCGGGGCACCTCTGGTACAAACCTCACAAGTCACCACAAATCCATTTCTGACCTCTGCCGTGCCACACCGAACAGTGCAAGACTTGACCTCTGTTCCTCCACCCGACAGGTATTGACACCTAACTCGGGTGTTCATTTAATACCAACTGGCATTTATGGCCCTCTCCCCTTTAGGTATGCAGGTTTAATTTTTGGATGTAGTTCCTCCTCCCTTCGAGGTTTACAGATTATACCTGAGGTTATTGATAATGACTATACTGGAGAAATCAAAGTTATTGCCTGCTCTCCTTTAAGTGTTTGCACTACAGACCCAGCTCAGCCTTTTGCTCAGCTCTTGTTAGTTCCTGTTAATGTATCGATTGGACATCCTTTATCAAAGGAAACTAGAAGATCTAAAGGTTTTGGTTCCTCTTCTTATGCTTATTGGATTCAGTCCATCTCAGCTAACAGACCTGAGATGACTCTTAACATTAATGGTAAAACTTTTAAAGGACTTTTAGATACTGGTGCCGATGTTTCAGTCATCTCTTCTATACATTAGCCTTCTGCCTGGCCACTTACTGTGGCAATAACCTCTTTACAAGGTATTGGCATGAGTTCCAATCCCCAACAGTCTGCTACTTTATTGTCTTGGACAGATTCTGATAGTCATTCCGATACTTTTCGCCCCTATGTCCTCCCAGGCATTCCCATTAATTTGTGGGCAGAGACATTTTAGAAGCTATAGGGACTCACCTAGTTACACACAGCCCTGCTTTAGACATTATGGTTAAGAAAGGATTCCATCCGGCTAAAGGTCTTAGTAAAAATCTACAGGGCTCTTCTGAGCCCCTGTCTGTACAGGTGAAAACTGACCGTGCCAGTCTTGGGTGTTTTTAGAGGGGGCCACTGTAACTCCCGATACTCATGCTGATCCCATCACTTGGATATCTGATGCACCCGTATGGGTAGAGCAGTGGCCCCTTCCTTCTGAAAAAATTGTAGCAGCTCGCAAGTTAGTTCAGGAGCAACTTGAAGCGGGCCATATCAGACCCACTAATAGTCCTTGGAATTCTCCTATTTTTGTTATCAAGAAAAAGTCTGGCAAATAGAGATTGTTGCAAGACCTGAGAAAAGTTAATGACACCATGGTGGTTATGGGGGCACTTCAACCTGGACTGCCCTCCCCTGTTGTGGTTCCACAGGAATGGCATATGTTAGTTATTGATTTAAAGGATTGTTTCTTTTCCATTCCATTAGCTCCTCAGGATTGTAAACGTTTTGCCTTTAGCATACCAGCCTCCAATTATGACAGACCTTATGAAAGATTTGAATGGGTTGTCTTACCTCAAGGTATGGCAAATAGTCCTACTTTGTGTCAGTCCTATGTTGCTAAAGTACTCTCTCCACTTCGTCATCAGTTTCCTGAGGCCTTACTGTTACATTACATGGTGCTTAGCAGCACCCACAGAAGGGCTTCTTTTTGAAATCTATAACTCTTTGCAGGCATGTTTATTAAGTGCTAATCTTGTCGTTGCTACTGAAAAGGTTCAGCTAGTTACTCCTTATCACTATCTAGGCAGACTTATTGATTCTCATCAGGTGTTCTTTAAAACTCCTGTATTAGTTACAAGTCATTTAAAAACTCTTCATGATTTTCAGAAGTTTCTTAGAGACATTAATAGATACGCCCTAGTTTAAAATTAACTACTGGTCAATTGAAACCTCTGTTTGATATTCTTAAGGGTTCCTCTGATCCCAAGTCTCCTAGACAACTGACAGAACCAGCTAAGCAGGCTCTACAGTTGGTTAGTGAGTCTCTAAGACAACAAAAACTTACCAGAATTTCTGTGAAAACTTCTTGGTGTTATTGTGTACTTCGCACACAGTACACCCCCCACTAGAGTTTTTTAGCAA